TTACGAGTAAATTAAAATTTGATTTAAACAATTACTTAAGAAAAAGAGGAACCACCCACTTATAGACAAAAAAAGGAACTAAGAGAATATTTTTCTGGAAAAGGAATACAAGTGACCAAGAAGTACATGAAATATGCTCAATCTGATTCAAAATTGTAAATATGCAAACTAAGACGATGAGATGTCACTTTTACTACCTTTACTAGAAAAATTTAAGAATTTTTCAGAATCCAAAAATGGCCACAGGAATAGGCAGTCTCAAAAATAATGTATGGGAGTAATATTGATCCAACTCAAAGGATAAACAGATAGTGGTATATACATATATAATGAATATTATATAATCTTAAAAAAGAATTAAAAAGTTTTGTGTGCATTGACATGAAATGCTGTCCATAATATATTATGTAAGAAAAGTAAAGCATAGAACAGGGTGTATTATATATCTCATTTGGTTAAATTAAAAAATATGTATATAGATATACATATCTATATACACACACACTCATATACACATATACACATAAGGTTTACATTTATGTATATACATATTTCCTTAATATAGAGATATGCTTTATGTTTTAAAACCTGGTATTTTAAGACATTCATGTACTTCTTTTATTTTAAAATGATATCAAGAATTATCTAGGTAGCAGGATAATAGGCTGCTTTAATTTTCTTTATTCTTTTCTAAACTCAAAATAAATATATATTTTAAAAAGCTTTCTATGTGCTATTTTAGATTACCTTGCTGTTATAGAAAAAATAGGGCAAAATAACTTTTTTTTAATTTATAGAAAGTAATGTTATATATGCTTACTTAAATTTAAACAATCCGTTAGTAATAGTGGAGTCCTGCCATAGCAGGCTGCCATATTGGACAGAATATTCTCTGTGGTGTTTCTGGAAATTGTCCAATGCAGTTGGCTAGTTCCACTAAACACTTACCTCCAGTCTCAGTGAGCAACTATTATTAAAGTTGGGTGTGTATCCTTCCAGAATTTTTTCTGTGGACTTTATGTCCACGTATAAACAGTTAAAGTCTTTGTAAATAATAATGAGATTGTTTTGCAATTTACTTTTCTCTCAGCAGTATATCACTGTCATCTTTCTCTGTCTAAACACTGAGATCCAAGTCATGATTTTTAATGGTGCGTAGTAATCTATAGAATGGCTATGACCTATTTACCCAGACCGCATTGATGGACTTAGGTTGTATCTGATATTTTTTATACAAATGATGCTGCATGACATTACTGCATGGGTTTTTTAAACTTTGCTTTTAACAATCTGATTAAAGTAATAGGTTAAGTATTTGGTGAGCTATAGAAGTTGGGACTTCATTAGCTTGGTCAGGAATAAGAGGTCTTACGTCTATAACTGGATCTAAAGATGTGGAGTGACTGTGGAAAAACCGATCCACCTGAAAATGGAGAAGGTATAATTTACCAAATTACTTAGTGCTCTGAAAATGTGCATATTTTCCTTCAGGTGCCCAAATTACTCAATAGGAACAGCACATCCCTTTTGCTGAGTAACACTAGTTATGGAGGCTGTATCCTCAGACACGAACCAGATCTTTTCAGTTTTAGCACAAAATACCCTGTTTCAGCTTCCTCAGAATGCAGAAATAAGCCCAGCACTTTCCTTACCACGGGCTTGTCATGAGCGGCTTCCCTGGGTGGAGAGGTAACAGTCTACCTTTTTGCTGTGATGTATTACTCATATTTCAAGGCCCAAATAGCTACTGAAGACCTCCGAACTCCCACTCTGGTTCACCACTCCTTAATTCAATGCTTCAAGACACCCTTTGGCTTACACGCTTTGCACACTTACATAATAGGTTACATTTATTTATGTGTATGCATGTACCTGCTCATGTATATGTATATGTGTATAAGGCTGGAAACTTCTTGAGGGTAAGTGTACATGATGTTTTCAACTTTACTTTTACTCAGGCCATTTATAGGGCAGGTACTAATAACTGTTGAATACATCTTTTCCTCTGAGAAAAAATATTTTAAACACACACATCAATGAAATACCATTTTTACGGATTACATTAGTAAATGTCAACAAAAGTTATATCTCATACACTGCTGATGTGTTATCTGGTATCTGAATTTAAAGGTTTATATATGTACACACTCCTTATAACAACAAGTCCACTTCAAAAATTTCATCTTCAGGAAAAGATCATGATTATTTCCTAAGTTTTACATTTAGGGTTCTTAGGTGCAAAGGAAAAACTAAACTGGCTTCATTATTAATCAATAAATTATGGTATACATAAAATGGAATGGTATACATAAAATGCAGCCAATAAAAATATTTCATGACATAGGAAAATATTCTCTATTAAGTGAAAACAAAGATTATCTCTCTGAAGTAATGAGTCCAAATGAGGATGTACAATAAGATCCAATTTAATTAAAAATAGAGAAGAAATGAGATTGGGAGTAAAGGGACCAATATGGTAATGGAGTTTTCTCTGGACAGTGAAATTTACTTTCAATTATTCTTTTATTCTTTGTGCTGTCAGAATCTATGATACATATTTTAACATACTCTAACCTTTTGAAGAATAAAACCTGCTAAACATATTTGTGGAATGAATGACTGAATCCATATTATCTTTTTTTAGCCAAATAAAATTTTGATGATATGTATCAACAACTTTTCTTTTTTTCCCTAGAAGATGCTGGAGTGTGTGATGGTGCAGAGTTTCATTTTGAAAATTTTCCTATAAAATCAACAGAGAAAACAAATGCTCTTGGGAATAGGGATTCAAAGAGGTTTCCTGCCATGCTGATTCAGCACGTAAATGTTCAGATCTGAATTAGGAAGGTTCCTTAAGCAGAGGATATATAAGCATATTATACAAATCAAGATGCTGTAAAGGAGATCAGAAATGTGGAAAAGGGAGTTCTCACATTCCCATTTTGTTATCTTCAGGTAAGACCCTTAATTAAGCCTTACTATGTCACATATAAAAGTGATGACCAGAGGGAGAATTCTGAAACAAGTCTTTGAATGTCAAATCTGAGATTAAAACATTAACTGCAAAATCCCATGAATGGTAAATCAGTACAGCAATTTCAAATGCTTCTGATAAAAACATCACCTTAGGAAAGAATACTTGCAGGATTATTTTTAAAGAGATTAATTTGGATCCATACTTATAGAATTGTTGACCCTGGCAATATGTTACATTACAAATACAGATATTTCTTCAGCATGGACCGACACATGTCCACATCCATTCTGAACAATTTCACATTTCTGGATTGTATTTGTATAAGGTGCTTGATACAACGTAGGAACTCAAACAAACTATTTTTTCCCCCTTTTCTATTCAAATGGCCCATTTCCCTGGAAGGAATTACAGTTTCCTTTGAAAAGTAACCCATGCAGAAGCAAAACTTTTAAGCCTTCCACCATATTTGTTTATATGACTATTTCTAAAATGTATGAAGTATTACGTGCTGCCCGCTTTGAAGCTCAAGTATGTAGAACATGACTTCATTCATCTGCTGATGCCTCGTGACCATCACATGCTCCTACATACACAATGCAGGACTCTTGTCTCTTTTGCGATCCACGGACCTAGCCCACAGCACCCCCTCCCAGTCGCTTTTGTCTCCTACACCTGTTACTGTAGGTGGTAGCTTCTAATAGGTTCCTTTTTTTTTTTTTTTAAGTGGAAAACACGGGAGAAGGAAGGAAGGAAGAGTCTTTACTCTGGATTTTGTGACTGAAAAATCCTTCTAGCTTTCTGAACCTGGAATCAGGTTGTTAAAGTTGAGGATTAGTTGCAGAAAATCTGTCCACCAGAGCAGTATGCATTGTTAAAAGCAAACAACAAAATAAGCCCCAATTCCCCAAATCAAATAGTGACGTGTTCCAGTACAGCATAGAAACCACAGCTGTATCTACAGCCACACCCACATGTGTGCACACATATTTGAGCCTTCCTATGGCATATACTCAGCATTATAAGAATGCTATGAGGGAGGCAGTATTAGTATCTTCATTTTATGGGAGAGGAAATGAGGGGTTTGAGAGGGTATATCACTGTCCCCAGGTCACCTGGCCAGTAGTGGAGAGTCGGGATTTGAACTGTTGGTTAATTTGATGCAATCACTCTGTGGTACTGTTTCTTATGGTTGAACAGACTCTGAGAATACAGAGGATCTGTTTTCTTTCAATGTTCTTGGCTTAGTTGGGAGTTACTGTGTTTCCCCGAAAATAAGACCAGGTCTTATATTAATTATTGCTCCAACAATCCACATTTATTCATGTACAAAAATCTACATTTATTCAAACAGTCATGTTTGGCTGACAGTCTTAATTGGGGCTTATTCTGGGGTAGGGCTTATATTACGAGCATCCTGAAAAATCATGCTAGGGCTTATTTTCCAGTTAGGTCTTATTTTCGGGGAAACATGGTATAAAAAGTGAGAATGTTTAGGTTTAAGCAAAATCCTATGACTTTCGCTGGCTTTGGATTCCTCCCATTGATTACCTTAGCAAAACCAAAGGTGGTCTTTTGTGGACTGGGATTTTTTTTGTGAAATTGAATTCTCTTGTGGGTTTGAAAGAAAATCCAGGCCTGTTGATAGCTGAGTTCAATTTAAGTCTTTTAGTGATACCAGTTGAGATCTATGGTTCCACCTTACTTATGTCCTTTGGCCCCTTTGAATGATTGTGTAAGTATATCCTTCGCAAACATATTTGTAAAAAATGACAAACAACATTAAAATAAGAAAGAACCTCAAAGATAATATAGCCTTGACTTTCATTTCTTACTATGAAACTTGAAGTTGCTATTTATCCTTGATTTCTTCAAGGCTTTTAAGAGTTTGTAGCACTGGCAGGAACAGGCTTTGGTTTTAACCATCGGTGAAATATTTTATAATCTTGTAACTTATGACTATGTATACATATATATATATATATATATATATATATATATATTCTGTACCCAAATGCTTACATACCTCCAAATCCATCAGGCACATATGTTTTGAGGACAATATTGCAGAAAATTGTTGGCAGTGATAATGGTTTATTTCCCTCATTGCGAAGAGAAATATGTCGGTAGCCCGCCTGGAGGCCATCCAGGGGCAGGATCCTCTGGCCAATCAGCCTGTTGTTGTCATCATAGACGGCTATTCTCAAGACTGCCAGGTCAGGGAGGATTACCTGCAAGCAAAGAATGGTGCTTTTTATTGAATTTTGGAATGCAGCTCCTAAGATCCACAACTCTAGGAATCTGGACTATGTCCATAATGCTCGTAAATGCATCATAAAGCTGAAAATAGGCCCATGATCAAGACTTTGCATTCCTAAAGTATTCTGTATAACATACAGTGCCTAAGCCATTGAGAAAGGCAAGTGAACAAGTTTCCTGGAAATCATCTCATTTGATATTTTAAGTGGAATGGATGTGAATAGCTGCTCGTCCAACCCTTATCATCCTTTTCATCCCCATCCATGATGGATAAGCAAAAGGAGACCCTGAGAAATACGGAGACTTTCTTTAATCTCAGGCAACTGGGCCTGGCAAGTGAGGCCCCTGGCTTCTGATCCTGTAGTCTGTCTACTCTCTGCGCTGCTTCTGACGTCTCACTCTGTCTGTTTTTAAGAATGTAGAGAGTATCATGAAGAAATGCTTCATGTATAAAAGATAACTTATATGTAAATTTGGATTCTCCTTTTTTCTTGTACTCCTCAGTTTTTAACATATTTTAACATCTATTAAATAGAGGAAGATGGGACAGCTAGAAACAGTCACCCAGGATACCAAACTCTTGCCATCCCCAAACTGCATAAAGGGGCACAAAACTTGGAGTTCAGAGGGCAGAATCCCTAACACAACAAGAGAAAATCCAATGTTTTTCATCAGGAATGCCTTTCCTTTGGCTAAAAGCAGCCCACGACGTCTTGGCTGATTGGAGTACTGTGTCTCAAACTAGACTATGGATTGATTGCCTATTTATGCCTAGAGGTTATAATTTAATTATAACTTTAAGAAGATGAAAAGGAGTGAAGCTAAAATTCAGCCAACTTCAGTCACTATTGATCCTTAGGTGGTGCATGGGGATTTATTACCTTGTGAGACTGCTGCAAAGAACACAAATAGTAACGAGAAAGGAAACAAAATTAAAGCACTTGATAATGAGAGGCAATATAATTTCTGAAGAACAGTGAAGGGTGCAGAACTGGCATTTGTTTCTGGGGACAGTAATGTTACATATAAAAACCAAGTTCGATATTTCCTCACTCATGAAAAAAACCACCTCTTCAGTTAACTTCCTGAATTTCTAGAAACGTATCTAAGTATTACTCATTATGTCAAAGAGCATGGGCCAAGCTGAAAACAGATCTAGGTATAACAAATTGGAAAAACCAGGGAAGGAAAAAAGAAAAATCACAGCTGTGTATGCAATTTACACCACACTCTGACTGCAGTAGGGCAGGTAACGCGGGCTTTGCATGATAGTGGTATTCATATCATAGGGTGAACCTAAATGTCAAAATGACCTGTTTCATTGTTCCTACATTGATCTCTCCTATACTGGTTTCTGTAAACCAGACACTCTGTTCTCAGGTGGATAAATTCCTATTTTGTTAAGACAAGAAGCCAACTATCTGTGTTGCGTGATACAGAAATGGAGCAGAAACACCTGAAATACCTATTCCTAAAGAAGGAAGAAACCGTTTTGGTCAAGATAAAGAAAAAGTGAGGAAAAAAACAGACATTCTTGGCGATAGCACTGCCAATGAATGGACTTTTCAATACTTCTTTAATTGACAGAAGGGAAACAATGTGAAAAATGATTACAAGATTAAAAACTGCATTAGAGAAAATGACTTGATTGTTCTTAGGATCAAATTATAGTATTGGGGGAAAAAAAAGCCCAAAATACAAAATAAAAACAAAAACAAAAAAACAAACCCCAAACCAAAAATAGCACATGAAGCACAGAACCTGCAGGTAGTAACAGGTATCACACTTTCTGGAGGCACAGGATAATACCAGCTCACCCATTTGAAGACATTTGGTGGCTTTAATAATGGGTGCAACATCCTACCCCCCTTCTTGGCTAAAGGGACAGTGTACGTTATCAGCTGCTGTTAGGGTGGGAAGAACTCTCCAATGTATAATGGTATTCACCAGGGAGATTGCATTCTAAGTAGACTGCACACCTGGAGCTTGGGCACTGCCACATAGGAGGTGGGCTCCTCCAAGGAGGAGAGCAGAACCGAAAGAAGGACAGGGACAGCAAGAAACAACAATCGTATGACAGCTATAGGACTTAACCACTAGAAGAAGAAAAGAAGACATTTTGGGTTGGATAACTGTCTGTTATATCATGTAGTATCTATGCACCAAAATGTGGCTCCCAAGTTAGCAGAGTGAGTCTGACACATTGGAAATGTCCTACCTTCCGAAATACGAATGATTCTTCATTGTAAACTGGATTGAGTCCATTGTTCATCACCATGCGAGTTCGGAATTCCTTACGTATAGTGTCGGTGGGCAACCCATACATATCCACTTCTACGTACGTGCCAATTTTCTTATCTGATAGGAACTGACCTGATATGACCTGTAGCAAGAGAGAAATAGGACAAGAGGAAAGTAAAGTCTCTGTAATCACCAGTAGCAAAGAATAGTCAGGAAGTAAATCTGCGGTTCATCTTTAGAAATTTTAATTATCTATGAAAATAATGTACTCATTCCTTATTAAACTAAAATATTATTGAGCAAGTACTACATGCAAAAAACTATTCTAGCCTGAGCTTCTACCTTTGAAAACTGTCTAGAAAAAGAGGAAAAATATACATGAATCATACAATATAAAGAAATAGTGTCCAAGAATCTTCACTTAACCTAAGTGCCCACACCTATGAAATGAAGTGATGGGTTCAAATATGCCCTAAGATTAACTTCACAACTCTGAAATTCTCATCCTTCTACTGAAGTCTTTTAAAAGTCTTGAAAAGACACACACAGAAAAAAAAGTAATACAAAAATATGCCTGTTATTCTTTACTGATATTGACACTGGTGAGCTATGACAGTGTTATATATTTACAAAGACCATTACTAAATTCCACCTATTATAAAGCTATGGAGAAGCTATTTTTTACTTTCCAAATGGCTATAGACATTTATCAGGTTTTAAAATATGATCTAATAGCTAATAATTTGAAACAGTTTATTTTGAGGTAGAACTGACACATAATAAACTGTACATGTTTAAAATGTAAAATAAGATTAGTTTTGACATATGGGCACATCTGTGAAACTATCACAATTAAGACAAACATTTCCATCACCCCCTAATGTTTCTTTGTGCCCTTTTGTAACCCCTCCCTTCTCCATCCCTCAAAAAGAAAACCAGTGATTTACTTTTTTGTCACTATACATTAGTTTGCATTTTCTAAAGTTTTGTATAAATGGAATCATAGAGTAGGTATTTTTTCATTAACGAACTTTACTTTTCAGAGCAGTTTTAAGTTCACAGCAAAACTGAGCAGAAAGTACAGAGGTTGCATATAACGCATCATCACACATACAACCTCCCACACTATGGGTATCTCACACCAGGGTGGTACATTTGTTGCAATCAATAAACCTACATTAATACATTGCTATCACCTAAAGTCTATAATTTATATTAGACTTCACTCTTGGTGTTGTACATTCTATAGATCTGGACAAATGTAAAATGATATGTATCCACTATTACAATATAATACAGAATAGTTTCACTGCCTTAAATTCCTGTGCTCTGCTTATTCCTCTCTCTTAATCTCTGGCAATTATTATTGATTGATCTTTTTATTGGCTCCAGTTTTGCCTTTTTCAGGATGTCATACAGTTGGAATCATATATAGTATGTAGCCTTTCCAGATTAGTAATGTTTTTTGTTTCCTCCATTTGTTTTCATGACTTGATAGCTCAATTTCTTTTAGTACTGAATAATATTCCTTTGTTGGGATGCACCAAAGTTTATCCAGTCACCTACTAAAGGATTTCTTGGTTGCTTCCAAATTTTGGCAATTACAAATACAGTTGCTACAAACATCTCAGCGTAGGTTTTTGTGTAGACATACATTTTCCATTCCTTTGGGTAAATATCAAGGAGTGTGAATGCTGGATTATGTGGTGAGTATATTTAGTTTTAAAAGAAACCGCCAACTGCCTTCCAAATTGACTACACCATTTAGCATTACCACTAGCAATGAATGAGAGTGCCTGTTGCTCCACATCATTTAATAGGTACTTTTTGGATCTGGTGTCTTTCACTAAAAGTAGCTAATCATTTTACTCGTGAAAAAAATGTATCAAGAAAAAAGGGAATTTTAAGTGAAAGTTGAGTGCAACACATGGATCTTGCCTGCTGACATTAAGCATTTTCATTGTGATTTCTGAAGACTATCCCAGGACCACCTGCACACACATTTACACTGTTCTGTGAAGAGCAGGGGGTTTACCTGCACTGAGCAAGTGGCTGCAATAACCCCATCAACAGGCGTTTCAGAGAAGGGATCAAATGTTCGATCAGGCCGTCTCATGAAATCTGGTTTGAGAAGGTACCTAGTGGGACAAAAACACAGGAGTTAATTTCATTAGTTGTTTTTACAAAGGCTACAACACTTACAGTTCGGGACATTAAATACTTCCTTTTACCCTTCTCTAACTTAGGAGCTAGGCTTTTAGGCAGAGGATCCTAAGGATTGATGAGAATATCCCTGCCCTGTGGATAATCCTAAAGCGGAACAGGAAGAAGTAACGTTCTTTATTCCAGGGTCGCTGACATCTAGGATTTCCTGATACTATCATCTTCTCTTGAACTTGTTTATGCCGTGGGCCTCTTGAGATACTTGTTCTTACATGTACAAAATAAAATATAAAGAATAACAATGAAAAACCAATGACATGAGCTACAGTTATTAAAATATGGAAAATATGTGGTACTCTACTTCTTTGTGTTTTAATGAATGCATTCAATTATGAGAGCCAATGGAAAGTTTGACAACTACCATAATCTCAAAGTACTGCTATGCATAAAAATATTTTGAGAGATCTACAGTAAGAGTAATGAGATATAAAATTATCTGTGATTTATATTGGTAGCAGAGTCACGGGGTCCACTAATATTAACTGTGGGTTGTTGTCTATGCTAATAATCAAAGGAAATGTGAAATTTCAGTTAGAGGTAAATGAAAATAAATATGTAATTATTTCTCTATTTCTAGTCAGGGTAGGCTAGAAAATTAAATAAACAGTATCCAGATTGGAAAGAAGTAAAACTATTTCTTTTCACAGATGACAAGATCTTGTAACATAGAATCTACTAAAGGAATCTACTTAAGAAATCTAGTAAAAACTATCAGGATTAGTAAATGAGTTCATCAAGGTTGCAGGATACAAAATCAATATACAAAAATCAGTTGTATTTCTATACACTAGCAGCAAATAATCCAAAGATGAAATTTAGAAAATCCCATTTATAATAGCACCAAACAGGATAAAATACTTAGGAATAAATTTAACAAAGTAAGTGCATATACTTTGAAAACTACAAAACCTTGTTGAAAGAAATTAATGAAGAGCTAAATAAATGGAAAGGCATCTTGTGTTCATGGGTCAGAAGACTTAATATTATTAAGATGGCACTATTCCCCAAATTGATATACAGATTCAGTGCAATCCCTATCAAAATCCCAGCTGGCTTCTTTGTACAAATGGACAGCTGATCCTAAAATTCATAGGAAACTCAAGGACAAAGAATAGCCAAAACAATCTTGAACAAGAAAAAAAAAGTTGGAGGTCCCATACTTCTCAATTTCAAAACTTTCTACGATGCAACAGTAATCAAGGCATAGGGATACACATATAAATCAATGAGCTAGAGCTAGGAGTCCAGAAATACAATCATGCATCTATGATCGACTGATTTTTGATAAGGATGCCATGACTACTCAATGGGGGAAAGAAGAATCTTTTAAACAAATAATGCTAGGACAACAGGATAGCCACATGCAAAAGAATGAAGTTGAACCCTCCCCTCACATTAGACACAAAAATTAACTAAAATTGGATCAAAGACCTAAATAAGAGCCAAAACTATAAAACTTTTAGGAATAAATCTTCAAGATTTTGGATAACATAGGGATAAATCTTCAAGATTTTGGATTTGGCAATGGATTCTTGGACGTAACACCAATAGCACCAGCAACAACAGTAAAAAATGGATAAACTTGATTTTATCATAAAAAAATTGTACTTCAAAGAATACACTATCAAGACAGGAAAAGACAACCCATAGGGTGGGAGAAAATATTTTCAAGTCATATATCTGATAAGAAGCGTGTGTCTAGAAAATAACCCAGTTAAAAAATGGGCAAATGATGTGAATAGACATTTCTCTAAATAAAAGATACTGATGGTCAATCAGCACATGAAAAGATGCTTAATACTATTAGTCATCAGAGAAATACAAAAAACCACAATGAGATGCCACTACACACACACACACACACACACACACACACACACACACACACACTATAATAAAAAAGTCAAGGAATAGTGTTGAAAAGGATACAGAGATATTGGACCCCTCATACATTGCTGGTGGGAATATAAAATGATGCAGCCACTTTGGAAAACAAAGTTCATCGAACAGTTAAACATAGAGTTGCTTATGATCCAGCAATTCCACACAGTATATTGAGTATATACCCAAGAGAAAAGAAAACGTAAACTTGTATGTGAATGTTAAAGCAGCATTACTCCTAATAATGCTAAATGGAAACAATCCAAGTGTCTATCCAAAGATGAATATAATATGTGGTGTATCCATACAATGGAAAATTATTCCACAATAAAAAGAAATGAAGTACTGATATAGGCTACCACATGGATGAACCTGGAAAACACACTAAATGAAAGAAGCCAGTTGCAAAAAACCATATATTGCAGCGGTTCTCAACCTGTGGGTCACGACTCCTTTGGGGGTTGAATGACCCTTTCACAGGGGTCACCTAAGACCATCAGAAAATAAAAAGATATTTACATTTTGATTCATAACAGTAGCAAAGTTACAGTTATAGAGTAGCAACGAAAATAATTTTATGGTTGGGGGTCACCACAACATGAGGAACTGTATTAAGGGGTCGTGGCATTAGGAAGGTTGAGAACCGCTGTTATATTGTATGAATCTATTTATGCAAAATGTGCAGAATAGATAAATACATAGAGAGTAGATTAGTGGTTGCTTAAGGCTGGGGTAGAAGGCAAGGGATTTTGGGAAGTAATAGCTAAAGGGTACGGGTTTCCTTTCTGAGGTGATGAAAATGTTTTGAAATTGACTCCAACTACACAATGTCTGCCCGTTATATCCACTGGGGCTGGTCACATAATCAAACCTCGGTCAGATTCTGCAAGTTCCCTGCAACTTGTGTCAAAAACTTCATATCTCTAAAAAAAAAACTTCTTTATTTGTTAGAAATGACTATGACCATTGATAGAAAAATTCCACACTAATATGAGTTGTATATAAAGGAAAATAAAAGCAATTTTCCCCAAATTATAAGATTGCTTTCAAATGTAAAATAATCAAGTCAGGAATCAAACCTTTCGTATTCCTTAGGAGCATAAATTTTACTAATTTCAACTCTAGATGATGTCAAACTTATTATCTTTTCAAATACAACCAAAAATGAATCCTGAGGCATTAAAATTTTCCTTAAATAAAAGTTTAAAGTCACTGTTCTTGGTTTTGACAAAGTTGCTGTTTTTTGCTATCTTCTAAATTTGAACGAAGTGTGAAAAAATAACCCCCATTCTATTGGGAAGTAGTCAATAAAGGACCTCTGAGGGACAATACTGATTTTTAAATCACAGATAGAGTTTACATGCAAATATTAAAGATGATTTTGAACATTCACCTGTCTCCAAGAGAATTCAGCCCAAAATACTAATGTAAGAGCTCTCTCATAGCATAGGAAAGAATGTTTTCTACATTCACAGAGTTTTAGATTTGGACCTATTTCTGTGGCTAGTGTTACCCCTGGAAAACATGGTGATATGACAAAAGCTAGACTTAGGAAGGAAAGCAGGTGAATAACTGCCATGCAATATGCACTTCTTCAAGGAAAGCCAACCAGCTTTTTCTGGCAAAATACCAGACATTGGCCGAAGGGGAGGACACAGATGGTGGCTTTGCCTTTCCCAAGAGGAGCGGCATTGGGATTCTAGTTGTGTGATATGAGGGCTGCTGCTTCCTGAGAAAGGTGGGGACTCAGGGGTCCGTGTAGGACTGGCGTCATCTTTCCAGTCCAGAATCTCCGTGGGCAGGGCCTGCACAGAGACTCAGCAGTCCCCATGCCCCTCAGTCATTTCTTTAAGGTCAGGACCTCCTTCTCACCCAAAATAGAGAAATACAACATTGATGCTGTCTCAGTGCCCAAAACATTCTTCCGCGTATGCCCACTTAGAAGAAAACTAATCTGTGAAAGAGTGAATTGATCCAAAATAAGAAATGCCAGGGAAAAAAGGGCAAGACACCTAAATCCAATTCTCCAAAGCAGGCAGCCTTGAGTGTAGCGTATTCATTCTATACATGTAACAAAAGAGAACACGCAGAGCTTGATAGGATCCTGAGGCAAGCCCCGGCTTGGGGCTGACGCTTAGCCAGCTTGTCTTGAAGGAGTGTCTGTTCAGGGCCTGAGGCCACCTGCAGATGCAGCAGAGGCTGCCACTCACAGTCCTGGTGTCTGTGCAGGTCTGGGGACCCCAGGCAGTGATGGGGAAGCAGAGGCGGGAGCCCAGTGCCACTTCATGCATGTGGGGTCTGTGTGTTTGCATGAGAAGGGCTCCGTGCTTGGTTTAATGTTCTGTAGCCACTGTCTTGAAATTCTTCATAATTTGTGAACAAGGAGCCCTTTGTTTTCATTTTGAATTAGGCCCTGCAAACTATAATATGTAGCTGGTCCTGCCTGGTGTTTTTTGGTACAGAAATTGAATTCATTTCAGGCATCCAGGCCTGCATGGTGGACATGGGCGAAGGCCAAAGACGATGGCAAGTGAAGGGATTGGAGAATTGTCCGTGAACTTTGTAGGGCCTCAGAAGGCAAGGGGGGAAGGGTCTTCAGCCACTGGGGATAGACAAAAGCCATAAGAATCAGAGGACGGAGTCATTAACAAATTAATCCTACTTCATCACCCCTAAGATGTCATCAATTATTTAACACTCCATTTTTTTTTATTTACCAGCAAGAAAGCAAAATGGCTGCTGATTTATAGCTATAAGATGCTACGGGTTTTAAAACACATTCCAATTTGAGAAAGTTATATAAATAGTGTGCATCTTTGAATCAAAGAAAGTCATAGTATTTTGATATCAATCATCCAATTTCCTCTGAAAGCCTGAAAAGACTTAAGAAATTAATTTGCTCTATTTTGTTTCATTAGGAATGAGAGAAGTGCCTCCCATTTTTCCATCTTTAAAAATGAGTCAGCGATAAACTATGGCTCACTTCCCTGGTAAAAATCACACTTACTGGCCCAATGGCATGGCCTCCCAAAAGGTCCGCCCACAGAGCAGAGGGATTCCCAGGTGGGTTTCCGATGTTTTGTTATTGTTGCTAGATTCAGGGGTGTGCATGTCACACACTGATGTTCTAGACAAAACAGCTATTTGTCAATGTAGACCTAAAAGGCACAGACTGCCTCTTTACAGAAATGCAGTGCTCAGAACCAGCCAGCCCATAGGATTTTTTAAAAAGTCCCTGCTGATAAGTCAACAAACAACAAATGTTGGCGACATTGTGGGGAAAAGGGAACCCTAGTGCACTGTTGGTGGGACTGCAGATTGGTGTAGCCACTATGGAAGTCAGTATGGAGGTATCTCAAAAAACTGGAAATGGAACTACCTTACGACCCAGAGAATTCCACTCTTAGGTATTTATCCACAAAAACCCAAGACATTAATTCAAAAAAATATATGCACCCCTATGTTTATTGCGGCGCTATTCACAATAGCTAAGACTTGGAAACAACTGAAATGCCCATCGGTAGACGACTGGATTAAGAAACTATGGTACATTTACATAATGGAATATCACTCAGCTATAAAGAAGAAGGAAATAGTACCATTTGCAACGATATGGATGGACCTAGAGAACATTATGCTAAGTGAAATAAGTCACTCAGAGAAAGACAAATACCATATGATCTCACTTATACATGGATTCTAAAAAACTGAATAAATGAGAAATGTAAACAGAAGTAGTCTCATAGACACAGAGGAAAAACTGAGGG